CTTCGCATCTCCTTAATGGTCTTGGGTTGGTTTTCTGTGTTCATTCCCTTCTTAGATAGGTCGGAGACATGCAGTCTTGTTTGCCCGTGCCTGATGTGACTGCTTCCGGTCTTGTTCGGATTGTTTGGTGGTGGTTTTACAGACTGCGCCGAAGCTGTTTGGGAAATTGAGATGACCATGTCATCGCAGTGGTGAACACTTCTGTACGGATGAGTAACAGTCGTGGACTGGATGTGACTGTCGGTGATTAAGGACAAATCTACTGGATGAGCCTGTGACAGCAACCAGGCAGGCATGGCAGTGAGCAATGGCCTCCCCTTTTGAATCTTATATTTGGGAAGGGATTGTTGTCTTCTTTGTCTCTGAAAAAAGAAAGGTTGTTTGCTGGCATTCGCATAATGTGAAAGTGAGATTGTCCCTTTCTTTCCCTTCCCTGATCCCGCTTACCTACCCCCCTTAAACCCAGTCATCCACCCCATTCATTGTATGCCTCCCTCCCTCGAGCACCCTTCTCTCAGGTCTTTTTCATGCCTCAATAATCAGGCTCTTGTTTTGAAATGTGACTTTCGAGGGCGTGCTTCCCTGTTCCATTCCAAGTTGGTTATTTGTGCTTTATGCCAAAACAAAAAGGGTATACTTTCTCCTACTTTAGCAATGAGTAAAATTCTACCTTCAATGCCTTGTATTTGCTGGCGCTGGCCAGAGACGAGGAGGTTCTACTCTCTGATTAGATATCATTTGTGTCAGAGTATGATTTGACAGTCAACAGCTGATCAGGGGAGTTGATGAAAGGGATGGATGAAAGGGGGTTAATGAGCTGTGCCCCAGTTGGGCTCCTTTGCAGTCATGGATTGTTATAATTGAAGATTCAATGTGAAAGAATTCAGTTCCAGCCAATTCTTTTAACTCAGATGGGGACCAGGGGGGATGAGAACTTGAGAAGTTAGTGTGGGAGGCCTGTGGTGGGGTATACCATGAATCTAAGTCACAGTGTTTATTCAACTTTGTTGTCACTTTATTAGTTTATATGGTCCGACGCTGGTTCTTCCCGGTTCTTCCTTGTCGTGGTGCTACTTTGGGGTGGGGTTGGGTGCATTGGTGCCTAATCCCCCTCCGGAATGGTGGTGGCATATTCGGTTTCTCCGAGTACACAGGACCAAATGCTTCGTTGATTTATGTAAGCGAAACCGTCTCATTGATGTTGCTCAAAGAAATGCAGTCTCCCCTCTTCAGTCATAACCATCACGGAAAA